AAAAAAAAAAAAAAAAAAAAAAAAAAAAAAAAACTCATTTCCTACTAATCAGTAAAAATTCATCCAATATTACTTTTTTCTCTTCTGTACATTACAAGCAGAGTGATTTAAAGAGAATTTATAATAGAAAGCGAGAGGGACAGAGAGAAAGAAGATAACTAACTTCCATCTTCAACAAAATTCTTTTTAACACTAAACAAAAATTATCTCAAGGAATGGAGTGCAAGTTATACAAATTCTAGTTTAGTTAAGGGCATGAAACCTATTTGATTCATGTGATCAAATATGGAAGAAAAAAACTTAGAAAGGACTAGCGTATCACATCTCAGTTCATTGGATTAAGCAAGGAAAATTATACGGTCAGACTATTCAGTTGCATTTGAACTGCACAAAGCTTAAGTAACTATTTTAAGTACGAAAAAGTTTATGTTTCTTCATTACATAACCAGTGTCATTAGATATTGTTGCTACCCATCCTTGCCTAAACAAGTTTCTTATATACATTGTCAATCACAATTTTAAGACCTAAGCTGCACACTTACAGAACCCAAAGCAAATAGTAACTTACATCCTCATCACGACCAGTAGAAAGAATGAGAGAAATCAACAAGTAATACCAGGAAACAAACGCTGGTTTGTTTAAGTACGAGAAAATCAATGCCACCATTAAATTCTATTGTTTATAAAGGGGAATAGAAGGTACCTTGACCTCACTCATTGCTCAAAGCTTTAACTTGAACCCTTTTGAAAGGAAATCATCTCCTCTATAACGATAAAATAGAAAAATTTAGCAAAGAATTGAAGCAAATACAAAAAAAAGTACAAATATGTCATAACTGTAAATGGTAAAAGAAAAGAGGCTACAAGCCTACAACATAACCACAATTTAACAGAATGACCAACCTCTTCTTTAAGGCTTTCTTGTTTCCGCCTTTATATTGATTATACTGTTTATTCAGATCACTTTCCTCATCATTGGAATGGAGCTGAACAAGGCTTCTCAAATAAACATAACTGTTGAAATGTAGAAAGCCACGTAACGCCCCAATTTCAGTATCAACAATCTTTATAGAATCATCATTAATACTATTCCAACGGAATCGCTTATTATCTTGTTCCACAAGAATTTCCTTTCTATCCTTTGAAAATTCAAGTGGGACCATAGTATGGCCAATTTGCTTATCTGGTTCTTCCAGTGATGTAACCATAGTCCACGAGTCCTTAACTCCATATTCCTTCATAACCCATATGTCCACATGGTCCATAACAAGATCCACATTCCCCCAATCACCATAAGAATCTATCAAGTAGGTTTTATATGCGCAAAGGGAGCCTCCCATTGCAGCCAAATTCAGAATGCAATTCATACAAGTAGCCACTTTTCAGTTGCAAGATCAAAAGCAACAATCAGGGATTCCACAGTATCAACAGGCATCCTCAACATGTAAGCAGTAACAACCCAATGCAATGAACCATTTAGATATGTACCTGGTCGATCTACATACTGGAGGTGATAAGTAAGTTATTCATCAACCCCTCTCCAACAACTTGATTTCAAACTATAAACCATAACATGAGATTGAAAAGAACCCTTTTCAGAACCGGGAAACGGCACAATTCTAACAACCTTATAGTCACCATTGATAATATCATACCCAAATCCAAAATTAACCCTAACATCATTTTTAGCAATACCCAAAAGTGGTAGTTTCTTGTATTTTCCTGTTGAGGGATTCCATAAAGCAATTTCATCAACAGTATTTGATATCAACAACAACCCATTACAAGAACCAAGTATGTTGGTATTAAATTGAGAAGACATTAAAGGGTTTGTCAATTCTTTGGGAGTAACAACTCGGGAGTTGAGAAAATCGAAGGGTAGAGAGTAAAAGTAACGTTTTCCATATCCATAATAATCAACTTTTCTCAAGATCAAGCAAATTGGTTTTGAGAGAAAAATTGAAATGTAATTTAGCAAACTGAGGACTATCAATAAGATACAGCCAAGTTTTTGATACGCACCTACAACGTAATACAGAATAAACGGGTACTCGACGGAGGATTTCCTCCACAACATCTAATGGGAAAGTTGACATTGTGTAGAATGGCCGACTCAGTTTTTGGATTCTGCATTCATAGATATCGTGTTAAAAAATAAACAAGTGAGGCGGTTTCTTTTCTTGAAATGCCTAAAATCCTCATTATTGTCATTACGGAAAAAGGTCAAAAATACCTCTAAACAATTAGAATTAGATTAAATATATCCTCCGTTTGATTTTGAGGTAAAAAATATCCTTACCGTTAATGTATTGGCTCACATTTACCCCTCAAAACTAATAGATGTCATGTCATCTTAAAATTCACATAAAATAAATTTTTTTTTACTGACTTGGAAATACAAATGGACAAAAAGACCTAATGAGTAAATTGTAGTGAAATAGTCATGGATCCGCAAAAGAAATCACGGAATGCAGAGATGCAAATCCAATTGAAAGTAATCTACAACATCAATGTTGCCATTGTTGTTCTCCTACCCGAAGATGATGTAGACACCATTCATAAAACTCGACGAAACTTATTTAAAAAATGTAAAGCGTTGAAATTTTGACTCAATCGGTTGTCTTCTCATCATCTTGGCCTTTTCTTACTTAATTTTTCTTTTGAAATTGGAGAAGATTAATAGCATAGGAAAATATATTGTGAAGAATTGAAACTACATGAAATAATACAATGAATAAAATTGTTCAAGAATTTTGACTTATGGAGTAATTATCCCCAGCCAACAATATTGAAACCTCTGTTGTTTTATTTTTCCTCATCAAATTTCTGAGGTTTTTTTCCTTCACCTGCTGGTTGCTGTCACAATGAGAGTTGAAAACTTGAAATTAAAAAGAAGAATGATAAAATTACTGTGTATAAGGGAGAGAAATAATTTATCTTGAAGGAATAAGAGAAATTTTGAAAGTATAGAAGAAGGAGAAGATAAGAAATAAATTCAGATGAAAAAAATGAAGAAATATTTCTTACAAAGCCACAGGTTCATTCTTTCCTTAAGAGAGAAAGAGAAGTGAAAGATTTATTTTTATTTTTATATTTTTAAAGAAGTGAAAGATAGATTTATTTTTATTTTTTATATCTTTTTGTCCATTTGTATTTTCAAGTTAGCAAAAAAAATATTGTTTTATATGATTTTTAAGGTGACAGACATTTGTTAGTTTTGAGCTGTAAAAGTGAGTCAATACACTAATGGTAAGGATATGTTTTACCCTAAAGTCAAACAGAGGATATATTTGATCCATTTCTAATTGTTTAGGGGTATTTTTGACCTTTTTCCGTTGTCATTATTTCCTTTTCATAAATGCCTCTATTCAATTCATCAATTATACTCTTTTCTCTTTTCTTTTTTTTAATCTATTTTTCTCTTAATTTTTAGTTAAAGGATTAAAAGTATCTTATATAATTTTCCATGGAAGTTCTAATCCTATTTAATTCTCTCCTTAATTAAAGTATTTATATTTTTATCCTTTACAATAATTTTAAAAAATTAAATAAATTCTTTAGTTACATTGTATGCATCACTTAATTTGCAAAATTTAAAAGAATTTTCGTTTCCTCATCAATTAATTAAATTTGAAAAGTTTTTCACCATAAACTTTTGACCATTATTACATAAATAAATAAACATGTATTCTACATCTCAATTTTTTTCATAAATCACGTGTAATGTGTGTTGAGAAAATGATTCTAGTATCTCAAAAAGAAAGTATTTCATATTATTGTTTAGGTCCATTCCTTCATAGCTTGGTTATGAATATTAAATATATATTTATAGTGGTTGAATACCTAGCCTTGATTAGCCATATATATATATATATATATATATATATATATATATATAAACAATCTGATGTGACACCCTTATATGATCAGCATTTCTATTTATCTTTTATTTCTTTTGTTTAAATATTTTTTCTATTTTTTAATTTATATTTTCAAAAACTTAAATGTCTTACACAATTAATCACCTCCCCTTAAAAACATTCCTTAAATTATTATACATTTAAGTAAATGGAAGATGAAAAAATAAAAAACTTTTTATTTTCAAAACAAAAATATTTTCATTTTCCAAAACTATTTATAAATTTTGTTCATAAATTAAAAAGATTTGAGTATCCATAACCAATAACAATGAACTCCATGATTTCACTCTTCTTCTTCCGTTTCTTCTACTTCTTCACATCTATCAATTTAGAATATAATAGAAAACAGTGTGTACCCTTCTATTATTAGCGGTGAATGTCAACATTTGATATTACATATCTGTTGGCATACATAATTCTACTCCATCCAAAAAGAAGTGGAAGAGAAAGACGGGGTATATTGATATAAGAAGAAAAGTCATGCAACAAACATTTTGTCTCAAAATAAAAGACTTTTTGAAAGGATATTATACTATAATTCATCTTACAAAAAGATACAGAGAAAAAATTAAATTGATTGAGAAATTTATAGGAAGAGTGATGAGTGTTCATAGGCCAAGAAGAATTATTTAGAAGAATTATCTATTTATGGAATTCATATTAATTAAGAGAAGAGTAAAGGAAGAATCATTTGAAGAAAATAATAATTTATTTATGGAATTCATATCAAATTAGAAGGAGAATAACAAAAATTATGCTAATAATTTATACTCGACATTTCAAACTGAATGGAATCGTCAAAACACGAATTTGAGGTCTCCTTGACCCGACATCTGTGAAAATCACAAGAAACTAACTCACAAAAAGGTCAAAACAAGCTCGGGACCTCTCAAAAACTAACCTAGGCCTAAAATAATCCCTCAAATCCAACGAAACTCTTGGAATTCCAATTTGGACATCCGAATGTTGACCAAAGTCAATCCTAAGGCTAAACTTCCACAATTTGACAACTTAGAACCTCAAATCTTCAAAAAGACTCAAAATCTGAAACCGACAACTCTTATGATCAAATTTCACATTCCGGGACTAACGTAATTGGCGAAATTCCATTCCGATACTCGAAACTCCAAAAGACTCCAAAAACCACTTTCATAACAACTTAGCATTTCAAACTCAAAACTCACCAAATTCTCAACTTTTAACTCAAAGATCAAAATCAACTTTTCAAACTTAATCATAAAAAAACTTGGATCGATATCAAAAGGAGCAAAATGATAAATTCACGACACTTTCCAAAAATGACCAACCGAGTCATTACATGTTGTTGTTGATTGATGTTTTTAGATATTTTTAATAAACGGTTTTTTCTTCAGAATATTAATTAATTTTATAAACGATATTGCATTACTCACGAATGTTAACATTTTTTTATCATTGTAAATATTTTTTAATTATTAAATAAAAATAGTATATTAAATGGTTACCGTTGTGGTTTGTAGAATATTGGTGTATCGTATGAATTAATGTTGGAATGATATATGATATAAGCTAGTAAAATATATGGTAACTAATTGATAGTTACGCTAAATACATATATATTAAGTGATTCTTAAATTAATGTAATATATGGTATCAATGGTAGAAGATTATATGATGTTGATAGTTTGGTTATATTTATAACAATAAAAATTGGTATATTAAATGATATCATATTGGTATAACATTTAATTTGGTTCTACTTATCATAATAACAGTTGGTGTATTAAATGATACAATACTGAAATAAAATAATAAAGATTGGTACATCAAAATCAATCAACAATGTACCTTATTTAATATACTTTTTAAATAAAATTAAAATTATAAAATGGTGCTTTGAGTATAATGGTTTATAATAGGAATAAAATTTGATTATAATTTGGTGTAAGTTATTTATTATGGTTACAAAAAAGGTCACCAATGTTAACACAAAACGCATACCATTTAATTTACTAATTCTTTTTTTAATTAATATATATAAAATTGAAGAGAGAAGTAAAAAAAAGATTTTCCCATAAGAATTAAAATAAAATTAAAGAAAGAGTAAAAAAATTCCAATAATAATTAAATCAAATTAATAGGAATGTGCTTAATGGTAGAAATCATATTAATTAGATGATAAAGTTTCACTCCAAAAAAATTAGCATCAAAATCTAAAAGGTCAATAAAAAAACGTAAATGGAGAGAGAGAGACAAAAATCTTTTTACAATAGTAATTGTATTCAGTAAGAAAAAGAGAGAAATATCTTTAAGTAAATAAATGTATCCAATCATATTAATGATTGATAATATAAAAGGTAAAAATAATAAATGATGAGCCCCAAAATATCAGCCTACTAAGCCAAAAGAAGAAGAAGAAGGTATCAAACGTGTAAAGTTATATTTATAATTAAAATGTTTATATTGTAAATAAAAAGACAAAATTATATTATGTAAATTAAAGTCTTAAATAGAATATTCTAGTGAATTCTTTATCTGATGGTCCAAAAGGTGCATATTATTCAGCACTGCAAAAAAAAAAATCTCATTAAAATAATTTTTTGAATGATTTTTAAATTTACTTTGCTTGATGTTTTAATTATATCTAAATCATCATGTTAATATTATATATATATATATATATATATTGTAAATTTGAATGTGTACATTTTTATTTAGTAAAAATAAAAAATTTAATTAAGATCTTTATAATAGTTATTTAATTCTCTCTATAAAACAATCTTAATATAAAAAGTGCATTGATTCTTGTCTTTTTTCATACTTTGACTCTAAAAAACTCATTAAAAAAGATTTGTGAAACACAATTTGCTTATCAAAAATACTTCTCAAACAAAATAGACAAAGACAAATTATTATTTTTCAAAAGTATTTTGTCGATAAGCTTTTTGAAAAGAAGTGATAAAAATAAGCAATTTTTAGCAGTAATGTCAACCAGACTCTAAGTTTTTGACTTCATTTGCTACATTAAGATTAAATCGTCTAAATTTGAATGCATATCTAAATATTAAGATATGCATTAAGATCTGAATACTAAATAGTTAAGGTTATTTGTTTTCTCAACACTTGAATGTATAAAATTTGTTTCTTTAATATATAATAGATATAAATCCAGATAAAATACTAAATTGATCAAATATTATATTAATAAAATATTTTAA